TTACAATTCTTTAAATAGTATTAAAGGAGTTTTACTCCTGTGAAGATGTGAATTGTGATACAAATATTTTTACACATTCTTAATTATGTGTTATCATGTTTGTTAAGTTAATAATTAAGATATTTGAGTTTTTGTCAAATTGGAGACATAATTTTATCATTAAATATTTAAAAACTCAGTAATTTAATGGAAAATTTGAATGGAATGTATAATGAAAAAATAGAGTACCATATACAAAAACAGTTTGATATACAACAATCAATAAATTATCAGTTCTTACTAAATCAACAATTATCGGAATCTAACAATTTAAAAGATACAACAAAACTGGTAAGAATTCAATTCGGAAAATTTATCTTCCGCAATGTTCACAAAGCGTCATAAAGCTAGAACATCTTCAAATATATTTATTTACTTGTAAAAATTTTATTAATATCACTATGTTATAATTCTATGTATATAACTTACGTACAATAATAAATAAAGTAATTTAAGTAATGTTAATTTGTATAAGTCCTAATTGTTTTTTATCCGTAGCTTAATGTGTATCCCATGTTCTCCATTAAAGTTTCCTTAATAGCTGGCTGTAGTGCTCTTTGCATATAAGTTGTAAGTAAACTCCGTACACCCATTGAAAATAACTTTTCTAATTCACTAGTAAGTGCCTCATCAATTTCATTACCTTCTCCAAAATTTGTGGGATACAGCCCTCTGCCATCATTATTGTTATTAAATAATTGAGCAAATGCTCTAGCATCTGGTTGTACTAACTCCTGCAAGTCATCACCAAAATTCAATATATCAGCACTAAAATTGACTTTGTCGCCCATTGGTACATTAAAGGAGCGGAAAGGTTCACTTGCACCCCGTTTATATCTAAAATGTCTGCGATAAAAATTATCGCCATCTACGGTATAGGGTTCGTGTGAATCATTTTCGTTATTATTCCACAATAATTCCTGATCTCTTAAATTTTTCTGTCCATAGTTAGTACTGCGTATGTCATAAATTGGATTATAGGGATTATGAAACTTGCCCCAACGCTTATTATTATCTATACCCATTATAACTTGTGGCTCCGAAAGCTCAATCTCAGGCGCTGAGGATGTTGTGTGATGTTCGCCTACAACTCCAAAACGCCGTTTAGAGTTTTGTCGCAGCCTTATACCAGTTGGGCCTTGACAACCATGTGCAAAAACGGATATAAAACCGGGTTCAGCAAAATGCGAATCCGTGCGTACAGATGCTGATCCCATTCGTCGTGATTCTTCATTATTAGCTACATTAAAGCCAATGGGTATTGTACGAAATTCGATGCCTGCATGTCGGAGACGTAATATCATTTGACATTTGCCTCCAGTAGGTTGAAGGACTATTTTACCACTTAATGTTAAATCTGGAAAAATGAGACGAGTATCTAACGTTGAGTTTTCTGCACTAAATTTACATTTGTCTATTTCTACCCAATGATTGGCTACTTTTGAAGGCAACTTCACTCGTAAATCTTCCACATCAACTCTGGACACTGACAATTTATGTGGTTGTCGCGGGCTATTAGATATGGCTTCGAAATCGAAAGGATCGTTAATATTACGATTTATATTTTTTGTGAAATATCCACGTGCACTACCGCCAGAATAAAAATCGTCTTCAGAATCGCTTTGTTGTCCATAAAGGGAATAATATAAAGTGTAGGGTGTTTCTTGATATTCGTAATTCATTGAACGCGAGGCTGGTATTTGAATATTACGTCTACGCATATGTTCTAATGCGTTTTCCAATCGATTAGAGCATCGCTGTTGTTTATAGGGCTGAGAGTAGGTAACTATAGATAAATATAAATAAGAATATTTAAATAATATTAAAGGAATATTTCACGATTCAATGTATTTAATTTATTTAATTTAATTTATGTCAACAATACTTATTAATTATAAATTAGTATAATAGTTGTAAGCAGCTTTATTTCCAGAAATTTATGAAATATTTTTAATTCTCAGCTCATATGGAAAATTGAAAATACATATCTTCTTAAGCCCCAATTACAAATTACCAATTATTTTTTCACTTTTTAAAATTATGAAACAAATTAGGCATTTTTCACCTAATAAATAAAAATAATATATACAAATATATGAATAGAATAAGACTAGGCGCCTAACCAAGAAGACGGCGGTGTTTGAGGGACTGAAGTCACTTATTCGAAATGAATTAAACGATTACATGTTTATTCATTACTGGTGTATTATGACATGACTAATTTGTAAATAAAAGTGTAGTCGTTTCAACATTTTAAAAGCTTCTTTTGAAAAAATTTCTGACTACAGCCTGAGTAGGTTATAAGTAATATTCTATAAAATAAAATCTTATTTTTAATTACATATAAAATTTTAATTATTTTAAAAGGCAGAATGTAAAAAATAATGCCTCTACAAAAGAGTGGTATTGAAATTGAACAATTAAAAATAATAATATAATTAATTAATTCAAATTTTCTACAGCTGGTTTATGAGTTCGTTCTAATATAACAAATTAAGTAAATTTGTTAATGAACTTTCACAACAAATTTAATAAAACTTGAAGTTCGAAAATACCAATCAAGTGCGGCTTTGAGTCAGTTGACTACACACTGACCCTGAGCTTCAAATGTGGCAGGGCACGAGTTCAATCCCTTGTACTTGTAATCTCAAAAAAATTATTTACAAATATTTAAATAAAAGAAATAATTCCAAGACCACTGATGATGGGAATTTGGCAATACTCGAAACATGGCAATACTGTATGTTAATCTAAAAATTCAATTAATAAAACATTAAAATTTTTTTGTTGTAATTTAATACTGCTCGAAATACCTCTCTATTTAAAACAATAGTTTATATTAAGAATTTAGTTTCGTTGTCCAAAATCAATCTAATTTTTTATATTTTATATTTAATAACAAATACAATTTTCGTTATGAAACTATTAATATAAAATAAAATTAAATTCACTATTTTTATAAAAGAAGAAAATGAATACAATATTTTTCTATCACTTCCTCCATGAAAGTTGTTGCCTGTAAGAAAACCCTAATATTGATCTCTAACAGTTAGAAATGACAATGTTATTAATTTTTTAATATATTCACTCATTTTATATGATATGATAATCACAAAATTTTTTTTTACATTAAATTTTGTATGAATTTATAATAAAAAAATTGTTTATGTGCCGGTAATTAAATAAATAAAAATTATACAAATTTTTATTGATCGCTTTTAACCATTTTTTTTTAAATATTTTTAAATATTTTAAATTAAGACTATTATTTGTAATAAAAAAATTATATATATATATTTCTGCCTTTGTTCCAAACTTTTTTAATTTATTACTTTGTTTATATTTTTAACAATTTTATTATTATTTAAATATTTCAATATTTCGTATTTCACAAAATAATTTTTAATTTAATGTTTACCTCTAATACAATTAAATATATAAATACTAAAAATTATCACACTGCACTTTGATAAGGACACACACATTTTTTAGTGGAAATATATTTTTTGGCCAAGTTTTCCTTATTAATTTAAGCGCTTTTAATCCATAAACCGTTCTCAGCTTCTTCAACATTGAAAATGGTTTGAAAGCGGTATCACAAAGTAAACCAGCGTTGCGCTTCTATAAGCACAACGAAAAACCTATGTCACTGCCTTCTTTTTCAGTGAAAGTGAAGATTTCCATGACAGGCACTGCCGAAGAGAAGACAACCAAGCTGACATTTATAGCTACAAACCAGTAAGCCTATAAAAATGAAATAAAAGAAAAACCATTGTTTTAAGCTCAAAATAGTTCAAAACAAAACGCGTGTTAAGTCCCAGAGCATTTAATTTATATATGTATGTATATTTCAAAATCTATGTATAAATGTAATAAAAGTAACATATCAGTTCACACGCGTAGTTCGTGTGTACTCGCCTTGAGTTTTATAATATAATTTACTCTTCTGTTTGTACCCTAACCAATAACTTGACCTCTTCTTATTAGGGTTTCGCAGTTTATTTATATATATATTTCTATACAGGGTTACAAAAATTGTAAAAATAAATATAATAAAAACAAAATTTAATAAATTCTATTTCATAAATTTTGTTTATAATTTTATTAAATTTATTAATATTATTTGTTCACGTGTTAGAATCAATTTACTGAGAATAAAAATTAATAACGATTTACTGTGATGGTTTTTCTCAAGCTTTACTAACTGATTTTTGTTACGAATTCATATGAAGTCTTATTATCTGAAGTCTCCACGAAAGAAATAAGAAGTACTGAACAGTGTTTAGTTTTTACTATTGAGATGATATTTATATTAGTATAC